AAAAAACTATACGAAACCAAATGGTGGGATCAAAGCTGTTTCTTTATGTTAGTGGAATGTTTGACGGAAGACTGAAAAAAACAAACATATGTTTGGTTTTCCTTTATTTTGCCCTACAATTTGGTTCCCTATAAGAAGTGTCCCATATGATTAGGAAAAAAAAACTACCTTATGTCGTTGTAGATCGTACAAAACAACACCAATATCAGTGAATTTTGTAAACTATAACAATTTATTTTATAGTACAAATTGATATTGCGAACAAACGAGCAACAACTCTTCCTTTCAGCTCTACTCTTAGCTTATCTTCACATTGAAACCTGCCTTGAGTAACTCCATTATTTGCAGTTAGCTGGACTCGACACTCGATTTTTCAAGCTCCATTGTGACATTAAACCCAAACTCACTTCCAGGGGTAAACGCTGATTTTAGTTCTTCTGCAGTCTGGATGGTGAATATCGTGTTGTCCTTGACGGTTAGATTTTCCTAGGAAATATAACTAATTTCGCTAAGGGAAAAGTTTGGTTTGGCTAAATCGAGAACATGTGTTGATGGGTGATTCGGGCTTTACCTTCTTCACATAATCAGCCACAATAATGCTGATGATTTCTTGAATTACAAAATTGGTAACTCGATCTTCACCAAGAACTCGTAAAAGAATGTCCTTTGGCACCTGCATTTAGAAAGATAACAAATCCGCTCAAAATGAGTTTGATTTGTTAACCAGTTAATTTTGAAGGCTATATTTGGTAGACAAATAAGTTAGATTATGGCTTATTTAGTTAGTTTATGAGCTTCCTGTATTTAAATAAGCTTCTTTTAGTATGACGAGTTTTTTTGAAAAGCTCGGGCTTAGCCCTTAAGCTTATTTGGGTAACTTTTCAAATAAGCTCGTTGAAATTTTTATTTTAGCTAGCTTATCAGCTAATTTTGCCAAACACTTTTATCATATAAGCTAGTTTTTCAGCTATAAGCTATAAGCTCGAAAATTATTTATAAGCTATAAGCTATCTTATCAGCTGATTTTACCAAACAAAGCCGAAAAAAGGTAGTAAGGTTAGTTGTTAGCGAGATTTTGAGTTTATATTAAAAAAATATTTAAAAGAAAATAATTAAAGTTTATTTTATGTAAAATTATGAGAAAGAAGATGTGAAGTGATGGTTAGTTTAAATTATGTAAGTGGATGAATAACG